GCTGCTGGATTACGCACTGACTGTGAGCCATTACAACAGACATGATATACCCAGCCAGGATGCGTTTAATTACCGCCTGTATGTGTGTTGTCTAATCGAAGATGCACACACTGAAGATTATAATTAACACGCAAGAGACGTAAGCATGTGACTCTGCTGATCATGTATCTGTAATGTCAAAAATATTTTTTATCTACATGTGAAACCTTATGAATTTTTTTATGTATGCCTTTCGGAATTAGGTTATATATGTGCAAAGAGCACTTTCATGGATCATTTTCAAAGGTACTGAAGTAAACTATGGCTAAATACATTAGGGCTACTTGCATATTGAAAAGGATACCTTAGGGAAAGACCTTTCAGAGAACGTTGATTAATATCACATCTCTGCAAGGAGAATTCTGCGCTATGAGAAAAAACACGAAAACCTCATGTAGCTAGCTCGCTAACTTACTGAGAATAGAATCTGAGATGAAACGCAGCTTAAAATTGAGGGCTGGTTAGCTCAATATCCGAAAGCAAATTGCTTATTGGTTGTTCTTTACACGAGGAGGAAAAGCACGAAAATAGCTACACAGCCAGATTGCCCTATCGCTTAAAATCGAATACAGAACTGAACTATCACTGTTAACAACCTAAACCAATTAGCAGCTTTAACCTCTCTCTCTTAATCAGTTGGATAAGATTGACTAAGAGTGCTAACAGGAAGGAATGAGGCACTATTAGTAAGAGTCTTGTCTAATGGTTTCAGATAGATTATATTTAGAATTACAGATTCGGACGATGGCCTTAACTTGTAAAGGTTATCTTAAAAGACTCTCTTGCCTCGCAGTTAGTAGGTGTTAGATTAGTCGTTCGAACGTGAAATTTCGGATAAGATAAACACGGCCTACTTATGACGAAGCCATTACTAATCTTAACAATAGTGTTCACATCTTACCAACTTTTTGGTTAAGTTGGCTCATAACCTTAAATCCCTTACGATTTTCGAATATGTGACTGTTGCAAGAATTGGAATATTTTATTTATTTTAAAAGCAATTACTTCGAACTTTTTACAGCTGACTACATAATATAGCTGCTCTGGGAACTAGTAACCAGAAAGTTTGTGTTGCCACAAATATTTTTGTAATTTAATCCACTTTGTGACAAAATATTTCGTTATATTTCCACCTTGCGCGCATGATATTTAAAAATGGCTAATGAAACATACTTGAAAGTTGACGATTTCTTTATATGAGCACTATCTTCTACCTGAATCAAAAATTTGATGAACATTTTAATATTAAAAAATTTTATGCACGAAAACATTACAGATCTTTTTAATAAAATTCATTTTATAAACTCAACTGCAAATAAAATAAAAATTTAACATGAAATTCTTAGAGTTTTTGGTTCACAATAGTTTGCAAATGTTATGAAAACTACATATTAAATATGGAATCAAATTATGCAACAGAATGTTTTAAAGTGTGCGCGCAAGGTGTCACAAAGCGGATTAAATTATAAAATATTTGTGGCAACACAAACTTTCTGATTACTGTTTCGGAAAGAAGCAATATTATGTAGTAAGCCGTAAAAAGTTGGAAGTAATTGCTTTTAAAATAAATAAGTTATCCCGATTCTTGCAACAGTCACATATTCGAAGTTCTTATGGGTTTTAAGGTATATGAGTCCCCTTAAAAGACTAAATACTGAAAAAGTAACAGATGATATCGAACACTTAAGAGTAGAAGTAATAGTTAAATGTTCATCGTCAGCCCGGTTATGATTCTACAAATCGCGATAGGACGGTAGAAATAAATTGAAACGATAACCGTGGAAATGCTTAAACTGGAGCATAAAAGCGTGATGGAATGGAACTTTTTGAAAACGAATTATGACCTAGATATTGGTGACTTTTCCGAAGAAAGAGTAGAATGTGTTTTATTCTAAGGTGAAGCAGCCTCCTCCACTTATTCCGCCCTCCCCCCCCAGTGAACATAAACTGGCTGATGACAATGCTATTGAAGAACATATAGAAGTCGATCCTATGAGGAAAGAAAAATTGAAGGGTTAGCACCAATAATCCTTCCCAAACCGGCGATGACTGGAAGAAACTGAAGAGGCACTTCTTGTCTCATAGCATATACAGTACAGCAGAACTCAACTCAACAGAATTATCCGAATCAAATGAGGCCGTACCCCATTCGGATAATCAAAATTTCAGATAATTGAATTTATTTCGAAGAAAGGGTCTACTTACACTTTTGTTAATTACTGTACGTACTTGAAAATGGGCGAAAAAACTATTTTTAAAGAAAAAAAAGGTTTTTAATTAATTAGAATGAAAAGGCAGCACTTTTACGTACTGTAGCACTGTACAGTACTTACAAGTGCTGAGAGTCATTGCTTGCTGAACATCTCCGTCAAACGAAGCTGTTTGAGGGACACCGTGCCTTCCTTAGCCAGCCGTTACTTGCTTTAAAGCAGGGTTTCTTAAATTGCGGGACCTGCAGCAGGGGGTCGCCAAAAATTTTAGCAGTTTTGATATTTCTTTAACTTATTATAATAATTTCACAATTACCAAACATTTTACACAATGTATCTGAAAAATAGATAAAGATAAGACAAAACAGACAAAAAACGAAAAAGTTTCGACGTATTCTTTTTATAATATAAACGTTCATTTTCCTTGCATTGCACGTGATGCTGCCATTTCGTCCGTTACTTATTTAAAATTTCCACATTGTTCTATGTCTTAAAATTAGAAATTAAAGTTAATGATGTAAACTGCAATAGTATATTACAATACAAGTGAAAAAAATGACAGTTTCACTCACGCGTGTGTCGGATTTGGGCAATAATTATGGGTTCCCACACAATTTTTGTAAATATTATGGGGTCCTCGGGGTCGCGAAAAAATCTCACTGATAAAAAGGGGTCGCGATTGAAAAACGTTTAAGAAACCCTGCTTTAAAGGATGACAAACTAAGCATCTGTGCTAAGATCTTAGCTTTTCCACAAAGAATTGGACTCGAAATTGGGTTTCCGACAGAACGTTGCTGCAAAAACCACTTGAAAACGACATCTTTTAAATTTTTATTTGTTGCCGTCTTCATTGACTTTCTTGAAGAACTTCCATCTTTGTTTTCAAGCAGTGACGCGAAGTTTAAAAGGGTAGGTTTCCTCCTTTAGTGTGTGAAATCGCTGATTGACCAAGACTAGGTTTTCGTCTTAATTTTTTTAAATTCTGAAAGCGATTCGGATAATCAGCCATTCGGACAGTCGGAGTTCGGATAATAGGAGTTTTACTGTTCGGATAATCGGAGTTGTACTAGGATCGTTGTCTAAACAAACAATGTCTGAAATGACAATGACAAATTCTGAAAGCGAGTTGTACTGTTCGAATGTACTGGAGTAGTACTGTTCGGATAATCGGAGTTGTACTGGGATCGTTGTCTAAACAGACAATGTCTGAAATGACAATGACAAATTCTGAAAGCGATTCGGATAGTCGGAGTTCGGATAATCGGAGTCGTACTGTTCGGATAATCGGAGTTGTACTGGGATCGTTGTCTAAACAGACAATGTCGATCCCGTTCGCTTCTAACGCCATGCTGCTTGTTTGATGAAGAATCAAATGCACTTAAGCACTTTGAGAAGCAAAGCACAAATTCCCCTCCTCCCCTCCAAACCGACATTCTATAGTTTCTTGTGAATACTGGAGAAGGGAAGTAGCAGTAGAGGAATTCCCTTACTCGAAGTTAAACTATTCTCTCGGAAGACTCAAGTGTGGAAAAGATCACCCGAGTTACACTTAAAGAAGAAAAACGCACTTGCGTCGGGTGCAGTTTGAATCGGATAGCTTCATACGCTGAATATGAATTCTATCCGAAATCGCATAGCAGAATTGCGTAGTAAAGGCCAGCTCAATCAAAGCAAGATCAATGGTTCCTTTCACACTCCTCCTGTGAACAAAAAGGATGTCGTCTAACAACTGTTCGCTAAGTGCTAAATTTCTTATTCGCACTGATTCTCTTTCATCCTTGTATTCTCTTAGGAATATCTTCTCATATAATAAATTAATTGTCACTTCCCATGCTCTTCTTAAAGACCTTAATAATAAAGGTGTTGAAGTTATCTTTTCTCATGTACGTGGCCACACTGGTAATCTAGGAAATGAAAGGGCTGATTGGTTGGCAAAACAAGCTACACATCTTCAAGTAATTACTCCAATGATACTTCCCAAGTCATTTTACAAGAACAAAAGTAGGGATGATATAATACTCAAGTGGAATGAACTATACAGGAATTCTACTACTGCCTCTTTGACTAAACTTTATTTTCCTTCCATTCCTCACAGACTGAACAATAAAAATTTTTTCTGTAATTTTGAAGTTACTCAATTTCTAACTGGACATGGTAAATTCAATTCATATCTGAAGAGATTTAGATTATCTAGTACAGATTTGTGTTCATGCAGTTTCGGGGGAGTGCTGTCGAACATTCGTTGTTCTATTGTTCAAAGATCAAGGAAGGACGAAAGGAACTCATTTCTAGGTTAAACTCTGTGAATATTACATTTCCTTCCCCTCTTCACGTATTTGTCCAACATAAAATGGCTTTCTCTTTCTTCTGTAAATTTATCTCTTACGTGTCATCTGTGAATTTGTAAGTTTATTTTATTTTGTGTTGTTGCATTTGTTTGTTTTTTTACTTGCCTCTGTAAGCCTTGTGTAATACTATGTGGTGCACAGGGATTTCAAATTTTCAATTAAAAAAAAAAAAAAAAAAAAAAAAAAAAAAAAAAAGGAAGAACTCCCCATGGGCAAACGCAGAGTAATACTGCTCAATAGAGTTTTATGGACTTATTCTTAGAGAAAAGACTTAAAAAACTATTATTCAGCTTTCTGGAGGCAGCAGAAAAATACAGACTCTTGAAATGCTCGGTCAGAAGCTGAAAATGGCACTTTCAGTACGGGATTTATTAAAAGGTGAACAAAAAAATCAAAGTTTTACCTGCTCTTGAAGAGAATTCCACGTAAACATTCATCAGATGTACTTCTCTTCTACCCGAATTTCCATTCGCTAGGGACATTCTTGCATATTTATTGGCCGATTCAGCGTCACTACAAAGATAAAAATGCCTCATTTATTCTTCCCCCTATGGAGCTTCATTCATGATTTCCCTTGTGCGGAAACTCTATTATAGTTTTTACTTGAAGAACCTATGTGGCATTAAGCCAAACCGCCTATTGAAGTCGACATCTATTGACCATATAAACACAATCATTTGACTATTAGATTATATTCAGAATTCATACAAAAACATATTTTTCTGAAAACAACCTCATCTCAGTCACAAACATATATGTGAGTAATTACAGAAGGTTAGTTGCAAAATATCCATTTTACGTATTAAATGTTTCAAACAATTAGGAAAGAAAGATGTGAAGAAGAGAAAAGTGTTTTGGAAAAGTTTCGTCGTATCACTTAGCAACCAGTTTTAAAAAGTATTGTGTGCTGGCCACAAATAAATATGCTACACGCTGGCATGCCAACAGTATTCAAGAAATTGCCAATGTAAAGATCGTGACTTGTAAAGATCATGACTTGTGAAGATCGTGACTTAAAGAGAACGTGAAATATAAATAATAGGACAAGAACTTGCATTTTACGGTGTGGCAACAAGAAGAGGATTCGAAAGATTTTTATATATATTTTGTTTTAGAGAGTTTAAGATTTTTTAATATTTTAATAGTTGTAAGAGTTTTAACTGCAGTAGTTAACAGTTTAAAATTTTGATAGTTTAGAGCTGCAGTATTTATTTTTTTTTTTTTTTGGTTCTGTTTTAAAATTTAAATAAAAGTATTTTGTTTATTCTGAAAAATTAGCTTTATTCTTCCTACAAGATTCAATATTCATTATATTGAAATGAGGAAAGGATTTTTACTGGCGCAGTCGACAGGATCGGAGTTTCCCCGCATATAATTACGAACCAAAATAACTCAGGTGAGAGCTCAATTTACCTTGGAAACGTAAAATAGTTAATTAAGATTATGAAAAGTTAATTATTGTTTCCGTCATGGAATCTTAGTTTATTTACTTGTCAAAGTAATGAATACGCCAGTGTTCAAATGTAATTTTCAAAGTAATGAATACGCCAGTGTTCAAATGTAATTTTCAAAGTAATGAATACGCCAGTGTTCAAATGTAATTTTCAAAGTATGAATACGCCAGTGTTCAAATGTAATTTCAAAGTAATGAATACAGGTTCAATGTTTGTCAAATGTAATTTCGTTTGACTCGCCAGAGTAGGTGAACAACACATTAAGTATTGATTCTACTGATTGATTTTCGTGTCGAATAAAATTAAATTCATTGTGAATTATATTTAAATAGAAAAAGAAAAGAAAAAAAAATAGCTTTTCATAAAACTAAGAGTCTATTGGCTGAATAAAATCGAGACATGGCTTTTATGGGACGTGGGAAAAAAGAGGATTTGCTGGCTTTAGCTGCTGAATTAGAAATTCAAGTAGATCCAAGTATGAAAATCGTGGCGATAAAAAATGAAATAATTCAAAGTGATACATATGATGAAGCATTTGCTAAAGAAGTGTTTTTAACGATTATTGAAGAGAGGAAAAGAAAAGAAGAGGAACAGCGAAGAAAGGAGAAAGAAGAGATTGAGGAACAGCGAAAGGAAAGGAGATTGAGAACAGCGAAGAAAGGAGAAAGAAGAGATTGAGGAACAGAAGAAAGAAAAGAAGAAAATTGAGGAACGCGAAGAAAGAGAAAGAAGAGCTTGAGGAAAGGCGAAGGAAAGAAGAATTAGAAGCACAGCAGAAAAGAGAGCAAATGGAGTTTGAATTGAGGAAACTCGAAATTGAATCTCGTGTTCGACTAACACAAACTCCACCAACAAATGAAAATGGACATCATAATTTTGATTTAATTAAGCTTATTCCCAAATTCAATTTAAGACACGATGATATTGTGATTTATTTATCCTTATTTGAAAGACAAGCTAAAAGGACAAAGATTGATCCTAAAGATTGGGTTTCATGTTTATTGACTTTAATGCCATCTGAAATCATTCAATTAATTGGTAGGGAATCTGAAGAAAATTTTGAAGATTATGAGTACATTAAGGCCATTTTATTGAAGAGATTTAAATTAAATCCTGAAAGCTTTAGAAAAAAATTTGTGATGCACCAAAAGAGCGCTGAAAAATCATGGAGAGATTTTTGCTACGAAATTACAAGTTATTTTGAAGAATGGATCAATGGTCTTGAAATCACAAATTTTGCCGCGTTAAAAGACTTGATTATTACTGACCAAATTAAGAAAAGAGTACCCTATGAAGTAAGAGACCATCTTCTGGACGACTGGGCGAAGTTCGTTTCTCCAACCAAATTAGCTGATAAACTTGACGAATATGACAGTGTTCGTAATATCTCAAAACGGACTGGTGGTAATCCATCAGCAGACAGAACTAATAAAAAATGGCAACCTCATTCTCCACTTCCAGAAAGAGCTTTCAGAAATAAATCGCTGTCCGCTGAAAACACGCCAAGAGTGTACCCATCCCGTAAGAGTGACGAACCACAAAAGCCTAGTTTCAAACTAACTTGCTATAATTGTGGAAAAGAAGGTCATACATCTAAGTTATGTACCAAAAATCGGATACCAAGAAGTGCTTCTGCAACAGCACAAAACAACTTAATACAAACACAAGCACCCCTACAGAAAAAGAAAAACCAGAAGTGCTAACTGCCAAGATCTCTATTCCTGTCTCAAAATCAGTGGACGTATCTAGAAACATAGATGAATTAAAACTGGTCAAAGTTAAATGTGGAGATATTATTCTAAATGGAATCGTAGACACGGGAGCACAAATTTCAGTAGTCCGTGAGAAATTGGTTGACAACATACCTTGCGAAGGAGAAAGTAAAATAGAGATATCTTCTGCTTTTGGTGAAAACGAAATTACTCCACTAAAGATTTTCCAGATGAAAATTGACGATGATTTTCACGGTAGAGTGTCCATTACGTGTGCTGTTTCAAAAAAGCTAGTTACCGACTTGCTATTGAGTTCTTCAGCTTATGAAACACTCTGTGGAAATATCGAACTGTGGAACTGTGATCGTCATTGGGATGCATCCCCCTTAGAGTACAAAGAGACAGATGATAAACCCTAATCAGATTTCCCAAGAAAACATAGAGTCTCTGAAAACAACGAACAAGGTAAGACTAGAATTCAAGACACATCAAGAACAAGACGAAACTCTGAAAAAATGCTTTGAATGGGCAAATAAAAATCAAAATTCATATACTTTCGATGATGGCATATTACTTCATTCCGAATATATCTGTGGTGAAAACATTAAGCAAGTTGTATTACCTTTAGAAAAAAAGAAGGGAAGTCCTAAGAATGGCACATGAAATCCCTCTTGCCGGCCACCTCGGTGAGAAAAAGACAATTCAACGAATCAAGTACTCATTCTTTTGGCCTACTATTAAGCAAGATGTTAAAAAATTCTGTGAAAGTTGTAAAGAATGCCAATTGAGGAGAACAGTTACGTACAAAGATCGAATCCCAATTCAACCTATTGTTAGGCCGGAAACACCCTTTGAAGTATGGAGCGTGGATTGTATCGGGCCATTAGAACCTCCATCCAGGAGAGGTCATCGGTTTGTGATATGTGCAGTTGACCTATGCACCAGATGGGCAGAAGCCACCCCCGTCAAAGACATAAGTGCGAAAACAACATGCAACGTTTTGATGAGGCTTTTTACTCAAACTGGATTTCCAAAAGTGATTTGTTCCGACCAGGGAACTAATTTCACAGCCAAACTCACCCGAGCCTTTGAGAACTTACTTGGTGTGTCTCCACGATTCTCCACTCCAGGACACCCCCGAGAGTATGGGTGCTGTCGAGCGTTGGAATAGAACCTTAAAAGAGATGATGAACAAAAATATCCAAGAACATGGCAGAAACTGGGATTTGAATCTTCCCTATCTCCTGTTTGCCTACAGAGAAGTGCCACATAGCACCACTGGTTTGTCTCCCTTCCAGATGGTATATGGAAGAATACCACCAGGACCATTATCTTTGCTGAAAGAAATATGGACAGGTGAACGTAGCATTCCAGTTACAGCTTCCCGTTCAATTGAAAATTATCTACAAGACCTTTTAGAAAAATTAAGAAAAGCTCATGACATTGCATCAGCAAATTCCAAAATATCTCAAGAAGAGTACACTTCAAGATACAATTTACGTTCTCAAGAAAAGACTTTCAATGTTGGGGACAAAGTCCTCGTGTTAATGCCATCATCATCACATAAATTGCTCAACACGTGGCAAGGACCAGCTACCGTGATCAAACTTACCAGGCCACACTCTGCCAAAATCGAAATGGAAAACGGAAGTATTAGAGAACTCCATATAAATAAGTTAAGGCCATATATTGCTCGTGTAGATCACGTTGGTATCATTTTTGACCAAGATGAAGAGTTTGGAGATATCCACTATGCACCAGCAGATCTTATGAATAAATCTGCTGATGATATCTGGACCCATTTACAAAATTTGAAAGGTGACTTAAAATATTACCAACGGGAAGGACTATTTAAAGTACTAAAATCTTATGTAGATGTTTTCAGTAGCAAACCTGGTCAAGCCAATGTTGATGGTCATGACATCAAGGTTACAGAAGGAATGTAATCCGAAAAGATTGAGGCCCTACCGTGTTCCTGTTTCACTTCAAGAGGAAGTCGATCGTCAAGTTAAAGAACTGTTAGAATGGGATCTTATAGAACCCAGTGACAGTAACTGGGCACATCCTATAGTATGTGTTGCAAAAAAGAATGGCGGCGTTAGACTGTGCATAGACTTCAGGCTTTTAAATAGCTTCACAATTCCGGACGCCTATCCGATGAAGATTGCTAAAGATTTACTATTCGAAATAGGGAAAGCCAAATTCATAACAGTTCTCGATTTAACCAAGGGATATTGGCAAATTCCTATGAAAGAAGAAGCTAAACCCTACACAGCATTTATCACTCATTCCGGCCATTACCAATGGAAAGTTCTCCCTTTCGGTTTGAAAAATGCTGGAAGTACCTTCCAAAAATCGATGGATAAGGTGCTTGCAAACCATAAGAACTACTGCCGTTCATATATTGATGATGTGGCAATATTTTCTGAAACTTGGGATGGCCACCTCTATCACATCGACCAAGTGTTTCAGACACTGAGAAACGCAGGTCTAACCGCAAATCTAGAAAAGTGTGATTTCGGAAAGAGTCACGTGAAGTTTCTAGGACATGTAAT